CTGCCTGTGGTGGCGACGACCTGGTGCAGACTTTGGCTTGGGTGACCTAAGCACTGAAGGAAACCACAGTAGCTATATCAGCAAAACTCCGATAAAGTGGAGATTACACTAATGCCAGTTCTATCGGTGAGGAAGGGCCGTCCAAGTTTCCAAATAAGTATAGATCACATTCTCTTCACTTTCATCTACCACCCACCTTTTTTAGTGGCAGAGAATTATGTGAAGTATAGCCATGATGCAATTTTTTTCTTCAATAGGCAGACACGAGGTTGGTATTATAGAATTTATTAGAATACAATGAATGACGTTTCTGCGGTTTCGCCTTCTTCAGAGCCGTTTGTTCGTTGGTTGTAAGTATTCCAATTAGTTGGTGGATAGCAGCCCCACAGGGAACAAAGACTACCACTTGCGGAGCTTTTCTTTGCTGCTTGTTTCTCTCATGGAGAGTCCTTTTTCCGACAAAAAGGTTCACTATCGATAAAGCTCGTGTGGAGAAGTGATCGGAGGCGCCCTACAATACACATAGTATTGATCTCCGCACTCCAGGCCCACCAATCCCTCCAACCTTCCGGGATCAGCAGATTGGTGCCGGACATATCTGGGAGCGTCGTTTTCTTGTTCAGCAATCGCGAGGTTTTTAAACAGCATACATTTACTTCTATAGAGAAACACAATACAATACACCACTAGCTGACGTTTCGGCGGTATCGCCTTCTTCAGAGCCTGGAAGGCTACACTGATATACAATCTACTAGGCCAAACGCTTCAATGACACTTACAAAAAGACGAAAAACTCCTTGGTAATTACACGATCAACAACTTCTCGAAAAACTCACCGCTTTTTACGTGACCTCTAATGAGGAAGTTTAGAACAGCTCACTATAGTCGCATGTGGTTGATGACTGCACCGTCCCATGTAGGTCCTCTATAATAACCGACAACGATCGGTTCAATGATTGAATCGCAATGAAGTTTCGCAGTATTTCCCGAGAGCGAGATGGCACCAAAAGACCGCTGTGCTGATCGTTTGATGGTTTCTTGCTAGTTTAACTTATAGCAGCTTCCTGAATCCGAGAAAAAGGAGAGTGGTGGAGCGATAGGTCCAGCACATTGAAGAAATTCACCAAAAACTCTGATAGCAGTAGCTTCACCAGAAACGGATCAATCCTCTACAATAACACGAAGAGATGCGTCTTACAACAAACACTGCAGAAGTTGAGCGAGCTGGCCTACGAAACTCTGCCTGATGCAAAATACTTGCTAGACTTTTCAGCTTCTGCTAATTAAGCTGCGCACAAATGAGCGCGTATATCGAAAAATTAAAACCGCTTTTTTAAAGAATCTTGAAAAGTTCTTGTGCAAAAAACACTTCAAAAACCAAACCGAAGCCGATGCGGCATTAATGTTCCCTCCGCCTCTAGAACTCCAAAAATTGTGTAACCGAAAAAGCCAAACCTGATTCTTGTTGAAAAATGTGTGAATTCTGGTGGTTCAATTTCGACTAATAAAAATTTATTCTGACCTAGATAGGCTGCTTTAAAAATACAGCTTAAAATCGGATATTAATTTCCCGACAGTCTCGAAATTCACCCCTTGTCCCAGCCTTTGCTGACAACGAGAAAACACTCGTAAGTGCGAAGACAAAAGACATCCTGGCTTCATTTGTTGCCTCAAAGCGATAAAAAAGGTGAAGTGAATAAGTGAAAATTTTAACGAAAACTTTCCTTCACAGGCAAAAAACATGATGATTTTTAACATCGAAGTATTGAACGGACACTACACAGAATAGCTTCATGATTTTTCATTATACATATGCATAATTGCGTTTACGTCCATAGCGATCACATCAGATGATGATGCCCTATGATGCCACTTACATAATCAACATTTCTCTTCTAGATAGGAATATATTTGCCTGCTCGATATAAACACGACGGTTCCTGAGCAGAATACTCGATGTAAAACGGCAGCACAGCTTCGCCATCGGCGGCTCGCTGCTTTGTTTTATCATTTATTTATTATTTTGCATAACCATTCAATACATCCACTGCGCTGACCTCGGGACTTCCTGTATTCGATTCTTTCGCCTCGTACTCATTGTCCCCAGAAGGTCTTCGAACATTTTGCGTGTTGTTTCTGCTACTGCTTGACGATTCCGGCTTTTTTATAAATGACGGAGAATTCAGGTCGGAACAATTCTCTTTGCAATCTTGCAAATAGACCAGCTAAAGTGTTCCCACGTGGATTGGAAGAGATCTTTATACTTACTTACTTGATACTTGAATGGCCCATCCTCCCTGGTTGTGCGGGCCGCAGCATAATCTCCATTTTTCGGAGATTTGCTAGTTAAGCCATTATGGTTCCCTGATGTCCTGAGGTCAGCCCGGCCAAAGTCTGCCCCAGGTCTTCACCATCACAGGCAGTTCCAGGCCTTGTGGAACAGAGGAAGATTTACCACCATGCGACTTTGATACCAAAACGGTGGTGGGTTACGGTATTGGTTTACTCTTAGCTAGGCTTCCTGATGGAAAGGCCGGACTCCTTCTCAGCTTGGGAGACCCTACCGGGGGAACGAGTCCTCTCGCTGTACATCGCAGTCCGATACCCAGGAGCAACTCCAGGCCACGATGAGGCGGTAAATCGTTGAGAGAGATCTTTATGTGAGTGTCGGAATGAAGCCTTTGCTTCCTGATCACCGACATCACCAACCACTGTAGGTTTGGAAAGAAAAAAAATGCATTTAGCTGGAGAATTTTCTTTTTGGCAGCGTCACTGTCAACTTTTCAAATACGAAAAAGGAAGAGACCCTTTGGTGAGCTCGTAGCTGGGAAAAATTGGAGTGATAACCAATTGAAATAAACCTATTTGAAGCAGATTATCAAGCAAGGAATAAAAAAGGATTATCCTGAATTGGTCATATATTGAAGAAGTGGCAACATCTTATACATACTCGGCAAGATCTATGATCATGAATAACGACTTTAGAGGAGAATTTTGTAGGAGAAGCACAGTAGACTCGTGTGGCATTCCGTGGAAGTTCCACGCAAAACCAGTCTTTGTCGCTTATATTTTTTTATTATAAATATACTGTTTCAAAGTCACACGATTTCTGAGCCAATCGTAGAGTGAGAAGGCAAAAGGTAGGCTGATCAACTTTTGAATGAATCCAGAGCGAAACAAAACGGTATCGGTGGAATGCTTCAAAAAAATATGCTGACATATTCGTTACATGCAAAAGGCATTTGTGTTTGTTTTCTTCGTAATCGTATCGAGTCAAATCTTGTTGAGTAGACCACCGATTGAATGAAGTAACCTCACTGGATGATGGCCTTTTATACAGGTCGTTTATTAACTGATACTGATTGCCGCCTGATAACAAATTGTTTTAACATCGAGAATCCTTCATGTATATATATATATTTATATATATATTCGGTAATGGAGTAGTTAGCCCATAGCGGAACACTAATGCTATGCTAAACCCACCTTCATTTAACACCGCGATGACAAAAGACTTCGGACCGTCGGCTAAAATCAATCGGTTCTGATGAAGACCAGGCCATCGAAACGATATCCGAGTAAATTTCACATAATAACGTCGTGTTAGCTTATCGAAGATATAAATATAGTGATTTTTTAAGCCGACTCTAAATGAAAATCAGCTTAGTAAAGTATTAAATGCGACCTTGGTAACCTGATTTTTCATTTCTTCCCATTCATCACGCTTCATGAGCAGAGAGGAGCAGGTGGCGACTACCCTATTCAGGAACGCCACGAAAAAACTAGTGAATAATAAGAACTCAAATCGGCTCACTCATTAAAAAAACAGATCAACTCCAGCCTATATTTATTAACAATATAGTTAGATAAGCAGTGGATATAGTGTAGCAAACTAATCCATCCTTATAAAGTCGTTTACAATCGGCATGCACTTTGTATGAACACAGTTGGGCTACTACAAATGTGGTAAACTGACACCATAGCACCGTTAAAGTGAAACAACATCCATATACGTAACAATCGGCTTTCATGTTTGAGACAACATTTTAATAATGAGATCATTATACCTCTTAGAATGGTTCTGGAACAAGTACAATGGAATGTGATAGACGAATATTTGCGTTTTGCTCTGAAGTACACTTATAAGATTACTAGTAACACTTCTAGTGCTGTAATTAAATTAAAGCGACTTAGTGAATGCTTCTAGTTAGAAGATACACTCTCTAATATAATTCCCCTGTTTCTTTGTAATACAGCGGTACTTGAGTAGCTTATGAGCGTAAACACGAATTAGCAACACAGTGTTCCTTAAATAAAAAAATGAATACACACAAAACACGCTTAGTCATCTCTTCAATGGAACCGACGAATAACGAACGTTGCTGAGAGTTTGATAGGCGTAACATTGTGGAAGCAACAAAACGTTGCTGAAAGCTTGACAGGCTTAATATTATCGAAGCACCTCACCTATGTACAGGGAAATCACCATCACTTTTTCAGTTTAGAAGAATGATTTCATCAATATCACTATTACATTATTACGAAGCATTACATATCATTCAATAAAGAAAATTGATTCTAGATGCAGTCAAGTGAAGATCAGTCCACTATCACTATTGCTGAATAGCATGCATTATTTAAAGGAGACGACTTTGGATTTAAGTCATGCGAAGGTTAGGAGAGTTTCAGTTAGTGAAAATAATGTCTCATATTGATTCAATGATGTTCCAGGTGATGTTTAAACGGATCTCTTCCAAAGTGCGGCGATCGAATAGATGAAACAAAAGGAGAAAAAAGTGGCATTTCTTCATAACCTTCTCAACAGGAATCAAAAAACATTGCTTGCGTTTGGAATCTAAGAGGCAACGGTCAAAATAGTATTCAATGTACGTTCCATGTAGGATAACACTAATTTAATTTATTGACCTTTACTGAAATTCATCTACATACCGCCTTTTTAAATTATAATTCAGGCCTTCACATGTTTGTGTGTAAGCACTTTAATAACCGTAGCCTTCAGTGCCAACAAAAGGATTCGGATTAGTCGGTAGTAACGGTGGTGCTCCAGCTTGATACGAAATATTCGAAACTCCAATAGCGCCCACTCCTGTGACAGGAACCCTTTAGAGAAAGTCATTTAATTATTAGGTCAAAACATTACTCACCCTCAGAGCTGCCACCATAGCCATAACCTTCTCGTACTTCACCATCTAAACCATTGAATTCGTTGTCGAAGTTAGACGTTAGTGCTGTTATCGCACCTTCTTCATATCTTCTCCAAGAGAAGAAAGCTGCACCTCCCTTAATGCAAAGGATTTATCAGTGCATTTTAATTAATACGATTAAAAAGTGAATGAAAAGTGATCACCCAGGCTAAAGTCGATAGAAATGCCAATAAAATCCCAAATTTGGCATATCCTGATGAGTACGGCTCGTCAAGATCGAATGATGAGAATTTATTCCAAAGCGTGAAGAAAGCGATAAGGAATATACCAGTGAACACAGCTAAAAACGATTTTCATGTCACAAATAAGCCAAAAGGTAATAAAAAATATCCCTGGCTAGTACCAGTAATGAAGTAAGCGCACTTTAGTTCAATATTTCAATTAGTCGGTGCACAGCTTGGCAAATTCCCTCTGCTATTTCAATTCGCATTGGAAAAAATTTTCTCCCATTAAAGCACATTAGGCACACCTATGGCATAAACCAGAGCTAGTGATTAAGAACTTATAAATCGCGGCACTACATGCACTTCTAGAATGTTATGTATGGCGAGAAATTGTAGAGCAATAAGTTCAAGAGATTTAAGGCCGCTCTCCATGGCGCTATTATTGCCGTGGCCTTCATAACGCCTTTCGACTTCTTCTTAATTTGTAATAGCTCATATTTTAGTGCGAAGAAAAAGATTTCGTATATGCTACAAGAATGGAACAGCTCACATTATTTGCTTCTCGGTCGACAGAATTCAAATACTTTTTAAGCTTATGCTTTCTTTTTATACGTTTCTTTTCGATGAATAGTGATGTCGTAATTAACATGACGCTACCGCGTGTTTCATAGAGAATTTGCTTTTAAAACTCTTATGTCTAACGCTCAGTCCACAAAAAGCATATTATTATTAACTGCCTTCTCTATTCTTTCTAGCATTCTTCGTATTTTGTCAGTTCCTTCAACAATCGTCACTAATCATCGAATATTTTCTATACTTTCTATTATCAAGAACAAATGTGTCACCTTTTATTTATAGATGTCTTATATTGGTTAAGCTCGTAAATGAAGTAACCGAGAGCGGATACAGTACAAAACACAGGTAAGTTATTGTAAAAGAAAAATAAGCATTCAGTCAAGTCTACCACGAATAGAGTCGAATGCTTTTTTTTTTTGAAACCCACAAGTTATCCCACACTGGTAATGGCCCACTACCATTGACCATGATCACAGCCAGAAGTTGCAGTGAGAGCTCACAAAGTAAGAATTACAGCTAGATGTGAATGAAGCTGACGTTATGCGCACCCTGACTGGAGAACTTTATTTTGCAACTGCAAGATCAAAATATTGACACAGTTTAGGAAGCGAAGGAAAAATCCTGCAGTGACTCACATAACGATGCGTTAAGAAGGCGCGCCCAAAAATGCAATTCTGGTTTAAAGTATTCAGTGATTTTAAAGAAATTTTTATCTTTAAGAGACAGATTGCTTTGCTCCTAAAAAATATTTCAGGAATAGAGATAGCCGACAGCAGGCTCAGAGAAGTGTCCACTACTTCGAATAATTTACTAAACAACTCAAAAGACCGACTTTCTATAAACCTCGGCATAGATAGTTGATATATTTATTTATGTGATCTTATAAACTGATCTTCTTAAGCTAACGCAAGGTTGGTACAGGTCTTCGTTGTCGTTGTCGGTGTTTTTGATGTTATTCGTCGATGGCTGACGTTTCGGCGACTTCGCCTTCCTCAGAGCCGTGATGTTACGTGCAGAAGTCGTGCAGGAGGAGTGTGTACCAACCTCGCGTCAGCTTAAGAAGATCATTTTATAAGATCACATAAATAAGTATATCAATCTTGAGATAATTGCAAAACTCGGTTCCCGGCAAGATCCGAACCATCTATTTTCCTTTCCAGTTGCTCATATGTTTCGGGTATTCACTAGTATATTATGGATTCTGTGCAATATAACAGCCTTCACTTCTTCGGTGTTATGAATATCTCTTAAGCCGCACTATCATTAGACCCATAGGTTATAACTACTCAATTGTAGATTCGTCAGCCATCGATCAATAACATCAAAAACAACGACAACGAAGACCTGTACCAACCTCGCGTCAGCTTAAGAAGATCAGTTTATAGGATCACATAAATAAATTTACTAAGCAGTAATGACGTCTTAAAAAATCGCACACACCACTCAAAACAGCGTGTGCTGTGAGGGCACAGAAAAGTTACTATGGAAAAAAAACAAACACTTGAAAAAACCAACATGATACAGTCAAATCGCCAGTGACGAATCGTTTTCTGGATGGAACCGAAGAAATACTTTCAAGACGTGCATCCAACAAAAGCAGCGCTGCAGCACCAACCAATGAAAAGAATCCTAGCGCTGAGGCAAAAGAGCACGTCGAGGCACTGCTACCGTAGAGACAAACCTAAAGCGCAAGTATTGAAATAATGGGAATCTGGTGTTTGTTTCATAATTTGAAACCTGATGATGTGAACTTCCACTTAGTCGATGCCAACCGCCTTTCGAGATGCTAAACCATAAAAGCGCAGCTAACACCTGAAATGGTAATTTTCTACACCTTCATTTTTTTCTGTAACTGTTTATTGCTTTAATAATGTTACATTCGCCTTCTCAACGAAACAGCAACTGATTTTAGCACTAATATGTTTCCGCGATACGCGCTATCATATGTACTACTGATTGGTGTGGTCATAAATTACTTTTAAATTCACGCTTAACCAGATTTTCAAAATAGAGCGATGAACGGAGAATGGACGAACACCAAGTTCGCATGTTCAGCTACCAGCATTACTTCTTCAGCAACAGTATCGACATCGTCGCTGCCAAATTCAATGGAACATTGGGGAGCGTACGTGAATGACCTCTTGAATGAATCTGTGCCTTATTTTCACGATTCACTGCAGGCCACACCTTCGTTAACAGATATAAACTACGACTTCTGTTTGAAGGTCATCCGAGCACATATCGTTCAAATTTGTGGAACAGCATGCTCTAATTGCTCAAGAACACCTGTAAACACTAAACAACCGCCATGAGGCATCAGGTGTTGCCGGAGAAAAAATGCCGAGAAGATCTCGAGTTTGCTTAAACCACGTGCCAAGTAAACCACATGGTTTCGAAGGTTTGTCTCAAGTCAGAGACGCTCGACTAAGAAGCGGTTTCACCGGAGTATAGCTTGGGCTTCATTCTTTCCGGCTTTTGAAAAACCCCTTTTATGGCAAACAAATCCACCGACCTTAAGTCGTAATATAAAGGGTTTTTCGCAACGGTGTATTCAGAATTCGGGAAGAAAACTATCCAGCGCTAACTTGAACGTTTATTTAATGTACCGAAATATTTCAGCACTTTATCGCAAGTTGGGACAAAATCTTTTCGAAGAGAATTTGAAACTTAGAGAAAGAAGAAGGTCATGCCACATTAATTTTTTGACAGCACCGTATGAATGATGATCGGCATCACTATTAAAGCACCATTCGCTTCCTAGAAAATGGACCACCCTAGGACGCCTTATGTTCATAAAACCTTCTATGACGCTTATGATTAAAGAATGTTCGACGCCCTTTAGAAAAAGGGCCTTAGATTAAGTTTGAGGCTAATGCGATGTTAGAAATGCACCTCCAGATATTCTCGTTAAAGAACGCACTCGTGAAAAACGACTGAACTGAAAATGCGATTATAAATCAATTGAAATTTGATACTCAGTATAACGTGGAATCAATTCTTACTTAATGCACTTTTGTCCTGTCTTGTGATGAAGTGCTAAAAGATGACAACACCAAGAAGGCAAGAGAATGAGTTTGTATCTGCCAAAGGATATGAAGGACGAATCTACGCGTGCACGGAGTTATGAATCATTTCCACAACCAGAGAATAACCGAGAGGGAGCCTGAGATGTTGGAAAAAAGGCTTATAAGTACACAATAAAAGTAATACTTCAAAAGAAATGACGTTAAATAGGCTGCACATTGTTTGAGAAGAGGATAGTTATCCATCAATAAAGATAGTTTTAAAACTACTTGATGGTAACTGTATTTTAACCAGTATTAGTTAAAAATATCTATATATACTTCAGAGCTAGTTGTCTATATGCTTTACTATCTAATCGAGGCACAGCAGTTTTCCCGTATTTAACTCCTATGATCTGCAAAGAATTCTTCCTCACAATTTACCATTAACGCGGAGTTCGATGCTGCTTACTGGAAACACAACTCTGAGTAACGTAAGGCAAAAAAGGTCGTTCTTATAGGGAGACCCAGTCACCGACAAGCAGAAGTTTTTCCGTCTACAATTGTCTCGACTAATATTATAAATGGCAACCACTACGGAACGACGGGAAACTGCTATGTCCAAGGAAAGAAAAAGCTCCCAAACAACAAAATACCAATTAAATAAAAGTTGTTCCAGCTACAACACAGTTTAATGGATTCAGGTATCTAGGAACTCATTTGAATGGATTGGCGTATACTACACGAATTCAGGTTCACCAAACTTCATGTGGACGCGTAACTCTGTTGAGGCCTAATTTCCGATGTGAGTAGATTTCCAGTGACATGGTGCAAAAATGGTGGTCCTCTAATTCTAAACCAACAATTTTTATTCGAATCCTGAAATTTCTGCATGTATGAGAAAGCCTTTTCGTTTAACCACCACGAAATTCTAATTTTATTGAGCTCACCAAACGCATTTCGTACACTTTTTCCCGTCGAGAGGAGCATTTCGAGAACAAAAGAAATCGAGGGAGCGGCATTATTTTGTCCAATATGTGATAAGGCGATGATAATGCAGCGCTGCTGTTTACAGAGGCCTGGATTTCGCGCAAAACTTTTGGATTTTAAATGTGGCTTCAGATTCTTCGGAAATTTCAATGGAAATTTGAATTCTAGACACCTTTGAAACTCTACTCTTCAATGGAAGGAACGAATTCATTTCTGTAGGCCAATCATACCTTCCGCTCCTCAAGCTTTCTAGTTCTCAAAAAATATCGGAAGATTGCAAAAAGCTTAAGACCCTAGGTGTTCAACTATGTAATTGAAGAATTTCTTTAAGTGGCAAAGATTTCGCAGAGTTTTAAATGCTTTCAGGCTTTATATTAGAATGTTATATCCATTAAAGCCCTCCATTCTTCACAGCATGAATAGCTTGGTACTACAAAACCGTGCATTTCTAGCACATATTTAATTTTCGCATGCTTTCGTCTTGAAGATTGAGTGCGCGATCCTACATTGAAAAAATTGGGGCAATGGAATGCTAGTAGGTAGTGAGTGTCATGTTCCACTTGTCACAACATCAAACACATTATTTCGCTAAAAAGGAAACTCTTTAACCTCATGATGTGTCAACTTCACACTACGAAGTATGTTGACTAAGGTGCGCGAATAGAGTAGTTTCTTCTTCATGACTACTCTTTTCTTTTTCATTTACTAGTGACTTCAACTATGTAGCAAGCAGCAGATTGCTTTTCGACGATGAGCTGGGTTAGTGTCTAAGTAGAAAATCACGAAGCATGAAATCACACATGGCATTTCCCCTACCCAACAGAGGAACAACAACTATGCCGCCTTCACCTTGTCCAGTTGCCGAGACGAGGAGACACCGCTCGATTCAGTGCTTAGTAAACCAATGCTAGCGCCGCCGCTGTCGTGGAAAAACCTAGTTACGAGAAAGAAAGCCTTCCTCACCAGTAACACCAGTAGAATTGAAGTTGTACTCAGACTCGACGAATGACTTTGAGAAGACGTGTTATTTAGGTATTGAATTATAGGTAGTTGTCATACTATGCTTAAAATGAACACTCTTCGTTGTGGTTTCTTAATTAAATAACGTCATAACACAGGATTTGCCGCCTCTCTTCTCATGTTCTGGCAAATCTCGGGGTAGGTAGTGCCATAGTCGAAAAAATCTTTCACAAACAACAAAATTTGTAATCTGTAATAAAAATGTATCTGTAGAAAATGTAATCTGTAATATAAATGTATCGGTAGAAAAAAAAAGCAAGTCGAGATAACTACAGAAAGAATTAAAAGCAGTAATCGGGGTCCGTTTAGAACGGCTATCCTATGGCTTCCTTCCGGGTAGGAACAATCGATTCGGCCAGTATTCAACGAGATTAGTAAAGAAGACCAAAAACCCTCAAGCAACACCCGAACAAACGCACGTAAGAGTCCGAAGACCTTCGCAAATGATGAGTGCGAGGAAACGAATCGTACACAATAAATACTGACATCTCCAGAGTAAATGTAAAGACGGGTTATGTTAAAAAGGCAACAATTTTTTCCCGCCCTCGTCTGCACATTAGAGAACGCTGCCATATTTCTATACACTTGTGTTTGTACTTCTACATTCATACGCTTCACATTTATATGCATCTTGTTAAACGAAGGAGAAAAAAAAACTAATTTTTCATTAATTTACCAAAGCGATTGTCCTAAAAATGACAGTCGGCTTTTTGAAGAAGACATTAGCGTCGAACTGCCCTCCGGCCAATCCAGCACCATATGCTCGTACGTTGTCCATCCTTTATTAGAATAATCCTTTTTCACTTCAGCAAATGAAGCAGAAAAACGATTTTGAAAAACAACGGATGCTTACACAGACAGTAGCTCGGGTGAAAGTTGTTGTTCGACCTTTATAAATGAACAAATCTTACTGGCGACATAAAAGCTAACCGATGATTACTCAATGTAATCAAACATAACAAGCTGTGAGTAGGATGAAAATTAGATGAACAAAACCTCTTCCGTAATGCAGAGTATAAACAAGAAAACATGAACCACTGATGAAACAGAAACGCGTTAAACACTTATATGCGACGAATAAAAAGTGAATTCATGTCGAGCATACGAAGACCGTTATTTCAGAAAGCCTTGAATGAATATAACTGAAAATAATGTTGTAAACAATAAACAAACAAGCCAGTATAATTCTCCTTCTGAACAGTATTTTGCATTTTCTAAAAATCATTACCAATTTTATAAAATTCTCCGAATGGTTACTGTTTGATTGTGGCCAGAGGGTGATTTTGGGACGACGTATTTGCTATGTAAAGCGATACAGCGAGCTTTATGCCGTAAGAACATCACCCAAGCAGAGAAGGACTTCGATATTCCCATTCGGAAACCCAATAAAGAGTAAAAACCTATTCCACCATCCGACGAGTTGCTGTTAAATACATCGTTACCAAAGAAAGCAAGAATAAGCGGGTTCAAATTAGAAATTTGAGACTTTTCATATCACTAAACTACACCGTCTAAACATCTCCGATGTGCAATATAGACATTTAAAACCGAATTCCGGCTCTGTCCGCTTCATGATTGACGGAATTGTAGTTGCTACATGTATTTTACTAGTATACCCTCAGAGATTGAACCAAGTATTTGCTAAAATACTAAAAACGGTTTACAAGAAAGAATCCTAATTGTTGTAAAAGTTGCATTATGAAAATGACTTGAGATAAACGTTATCTGATGATACGTTATAACTAGAATGAGCTTTACTGAATGCCTTGGCATATTCTGCGAGAGAAAGACGACGATGGCGTTAGCAGTTCAAAGAAGTAGGAAAATGAGGGAAGGCAGCTTTACTATCGATTTTTCGTTGCTTCCGTCCCTTACTCTGACTCTCTCTCTATTTCACCCTCTTCGGCCTGGATTCTCGAAACTGAATCTTTTATGGTGGAGATGATTGAGTCTAGGTTGATGAGCAAGAACGATTATCGAAATAATGTCTAACTTTTATTTACTGCCTGTTCTTTTTTTCATGGCGGTGTATAATACGAAATTTGAAAGAATGTGAAATTTAGCCACAAGAATGTTGAGAAATGAGTAAAACGTGAAACACCAGGTGTACTTCGAAAGCGGGATTATCTTTTCAGAGGACTCAAGCGCTCTGCTCCACACCAGTCGAGGCCCGTGCTCTACCGTTCTCACAGCCAATTTTTTGCACTAACGGTACTCTCAGCAATCGCCCGTCAATGTGAATAACCTGGGGAGCCCTTTTTTAAATTTATCATACCGTGCTGTAACTAAGTTGATTAAACTAGCATTGTGATTCCGACTAAAGCCTCAGCTTAACTGGATTCAATTTTGATTTGTGCCGACTAGATCAATCCCACCGACAGTGATTTTTATGACAGTGTTAGGTAGAAAAGGGACTGAGAGAAAGACAAAGCAAGGAGGGCCTCAGTGGTGCATTGTGTAACACGCAAACACCAGGAAAGGCTTAATCGTGGTTCGATCTAGCTTGGAGACCAAGTTTTGCGAATATTTCGGTACCATTGTGATTGTGTTTCACAACTCTAAAAGCTCAAATGAAAGAAGCGAAAGTGCATAAGATGACCTTTGCACAGATATATAATAGTGGAGTATTAGAATCAAAAAGTTCGCTAAAATGTGGAACGGATTACAGAGCGAACAATATCTTTCTGAATTATCAAGCTAATGCAACGTAAACTTTTGCTCTGCATGCTATTAAAACACATAAATATTAGGTTCTACTCTCACTGGTTTTCTATGACCATTATTTTAATAGTAGTTCAGCTCTCCTAGCAATGAAATAGAAACCTCTACAAATGACCTCTTCTTCGATAATATGATGGATGGGAAACTGGCGCTGGAGCTCAATGCAGTAAATGGATATGCTTTAGACATTTGAGGATAAGTGTGCGGGAGTTACAACAGTTACAAGAATGAGAATGTGAATTTGCGAAACTCCAGAACGCAGGTGCATGCGTAGTAAGAAATAAAAGGTGTAAATAAAAAGTGACAACACTTGGCCGGCATTATTATGTATATTAATGTTACATAATCTTGATGGATTACCGCCTCATAGTGGCTGGAAAAGGTTCCTTGGTGTCGGGCTGTGGTGTATAGCGGGGAAATTCACCTCCCGGCAGGATGTGAAGCTGAGAAGGAGTCCGGTGCTTAAATCAGGAAGCCCAGCTAAGAGTAAACCAATACCGGGATCCATCATAAACGATATTACGATTTATTGATGAGCTTACGCGAGGTTATTTAGGTTTCTGCAATAAATGCACGCAAACACTAATTGCTTTAAACTGTAATCTGATATCACGTAAGGATGGCCTGCGCCAAAAAATGAATAGGAAGCTGTTGCAGACAGCTCGAAACAATACTTCTTATTTACTAATAATTCCACGAAGTACCCACATATTTAATTTGTGCCATATGCATACTTTTGGTGATTCGTGAACAACCATATTGTCTTAGGGTATATGGTATCCATAAAATAGGGCCGTTTTTCACCTTTTCTCTGGACATGTGACCATTATAGAAGGACTTGAGAAAATGAAACAATCGACTGGAGGGGCATTCGTTAAAAACCGGGACCTCAGTATAAATGTGTTGATCACGAACCACACTAATGTGCTTCCCTTCATTGTTAATATTATTGTCGTTCACCTATCATAATATTCTCAATGAAAATAGTAAACGCCCAGAAAGCAATAATAATGGTAAAAACTACAGGGCATTTACCACACTGGTACATAGGAGTGGTGTCGATGCACTGGCGTCCCCCTTTCGTAGTATAGAATTGAGTAGTAAACAAAATGTCGGTAAGGGTGAAAAAAATGACAGTATCGAAATTAGACGTCACCTTGTTGTGTTATCTGATCTGTGATATTTTTGGAAATGTTCAAACTGCACCCGACCTCGTGATTATATTGGTGCTGTTCAACGCTATTTACCGACGTAGTTAGAAAAATTTCGTTTTTTCATTTCGTTTAGTGTTTCAAGGGGTTTTTCCTTTTAAAGTCAGCATTGATTCGAATCCAGTGTTAACAGCAGTTATTCTTTGTTATCCATAACTTCGCAGTAAAATCGAGAGAGCAGCTGGAGCGCAACATTGCTAAAATGAAGTAACCTTTCCTAGTAGTATCTTTTCTAGAAAAATTCTTCGTCGATTTCGATCGTACGATACCTCAGACGTTTTTCTATGTCCAATCTTAACGTTGAAATCTACAATGATAGCGTTAAAGAAAGTATGGTTATCTTTTCCAAACATCTCCAAGTCCACCTACAGCCATTTGACTTTGTTTTCTTCGCAGCCTGATATCTCTGCGTAAGTTATAAAGGCAATGGAAGCCGGTATTGATCTACATCTCTTCAACTGTTCACGTCCGATTCGGATTGTTAGTTGTTTGAATGAATCGATGGCCATGACCAAATCCGTGTTAGCCAGAAGGCTAACGCCGTCGACTTCTCTTACTGTGAGATGATCCGAGGAACACTCTCACAGACGTCGTAGAATGGGTGGCGTTTTCTTTAATCAGTCAGTCCGACGACGTCCAACATTATTCTTTCTGGCTGCATGATCAAGTAGTGTATCGAGAATTCGGATGCAAGTGAGTGTGCATTCATGAAAAACTGATCATTTTAGTTCTAGCAGATTTAAGCAGTCTTTAATGGCTATGAGATTTAGCAGTCATTGCGTAATCGTCGTATCCAACGCTACCTTGTCGGGGACTCATTCGTGGTCAGCGAAACAACGCATGTCGATTTATTCTGCTGTTTAGGCTTTTGATGCCAAAGCTTTAGCTCGCCGAGCTCTTAATGTGGCTGGATACACTGACAGGTAGATTGTTAGTTTCAGAATAGACATGGGATTAATTTTTTAAAGATTTCTCCTAACTCTTCCGTGTGCATTTTCGTGTCAATTTATTGCAGGCTTTTAGCGAAAATGACCAGCAAAATACAGTCTGCATGAACGACAGCACACCCATTCACGAATGCGTGGATACGTATACGAAAAAGCCGAACGCGATAGCAATTTAAGCCTGACTACAATCTTCACGGGTGGTCCATTTACTTCCTGTTTTAAGGAGGGTTTCTCATGCATTTATCTCCGAATGCTTTACTTACGTCTATCCTGGTTGGGAATCGACATAATGAACGACTTAGCTCCAGAGTTGAGGAGAGGGAAAGCAGCAGCATGCGAGCTTTCAAGGGCATCGGGGGTTTAGTGAACAGAGCAAAGACTACCAACTTCCTGCCCACTTTTTCGACTTAACGGTACTTTCTGCATTAAAATATGTGTCAAAAACCTGGTCACTGAGTGCACAAGATGAGAGATCGCTCAGCGTTACTGAACGCACATCCGAAAGAACGATGGTTAGAATGTTCCATGTCATAGAAGTAAGAGCAGGAATCTGAAGCTCCGATCTTGGTCAACAATTAAACATCAAAGATGCCGTTCTGTATGCCAAGCCGTCGAGGATAAGGTGGGCGGACCCCACATGTAATGCGTATGGACCACAGCCGATGGACAGGATCTTTAAGTGACATGATACCTCGGGATGTCAAATGTACTGCAGGAAAACCTTCAACGCGATGGTAAGAGTTTTTCACGAAAGGCGTAGAAGAAGGTATGCCGCTCAACGAGTTCCTGGAGCGAGCAGAACCTACTATTTACAGGCGCCCGTTCGAGTCACCCTACAGGTAGCGGACCAACAGATGATATCAGTGATTCGGCCATCACATAGAAATGGTTAGAGGCCG